ATTCTGATGGGGGTTGTGCAACAAAATTCTTGCCTTGGGGTATGAAATCAACTACTGAATGGCAGCTGTGGGTGGTGGAGACAAAGCTTATTTGGCTCTAAATGCTTTGGTTTGTGTGAGGATGGTTTTCCCCCCATGAATCTGCCTCCCCCCTTGCTCTTGTTTTTAGGATGGCATTCTGTTGTTCTAGTTCAGGGCTTTTCTGGTAGGAATTGCAAAGCTTATTTGGCTGTAAGTAAGTGCTTTGGTTTGGGGGTGGACTGGGGGCCCTTGTTTGGGGGTGGATGGGAGGGGGTTGATATTTCCACCGAATCTGCCTCCCTTGGTTTTGTTTCCCTTAGTTATACCTCTGTATTAAATGCATTTTTAAAATGATTGTATCAGTCTGGCCATTTTAAATACATATATAACTCTTGCATATTTTGTTCTTGGTAAATTGATCAGGTTACTAAACTGTTACAGTTCAGTTAACAAGGTTTTAAAAGAAATATATATGAGGACTATAGATCAATTAGTGTGTGATTATGTGCATTGTTTATCATGGTACTGGTTTTGACTAACTCTGCAAGATCAATTATTTGCAGCTCAATTAGGTAAGTTGGGCATTGTGCCTGTCAATAGGTGATGCATTTGCTGGCTTTTTATTATTATTATTTCAGTTTATATTTATATTCCGCCTTGCCACAAACTGGCTCAAGGAGGCTTTCTACAGCATTAAGCATAACATCTCTATAAGACTGGGGGGTGCTATTTCCACTGATTCTCCTTTCCTTGTATTTATTATTTAGTTATTATTTAGAAGTATGAGCATGGCAGTACCACACAAACATATAGTGGTGGGCAGTGTTTCTTCTAAGCTAAGTTAATGTGAGCTAGCTCACAGTTTTTTAACCTCCAGCTCACAGATTTTTGTCTTAGTTCAGGAAGGATGGCTCCAGAGCAAACTAATTTATGCGGCAGCCAAATTGCTCTCTCACAACTTTAATGGCAGTAGCTCACAAAGTAGAAGTTTTGCTCACAAAACTCCACACTTAAGAGGGAACATTGGTGGTGGCCCCCTGAGAAGAACAAGGGCCCCCCGAGCAAAAAGTTGTTAGCTACGGGCCTGGTTCTGGTTACCACCAAGAGGCCTGTATT